GGATCAAATCCTGAGGAACTTTGAAAATCCAGCAAAGGAGTTTCTATTAAATCCTAAAGGTAATAGGGAGCCATTGCATTTTATTAAGTATGGTAGTGACATGCTCAGAGTTTATTCCCTTTTGATATCTATGTGAGTAAAGGGAATGAGACAGATACCAGAAATGGTGTGGAGGTAAAAATGATAAGATTTAAAAATTGATTGGACATTTGGGGTGAAAGAGAGAGTGTCATAACACCGAAGTTTTGAACTGGTTTGACTAGAAGGATAGTGGTTATCTTCGACAGAGGTAGGGAAGGTAAGATGAGTATGAATTATGAAGGAAATCAATTAAGTTCAGCTTTAGATGTGATGAGGTTGATATTGGACACTTAGAAGCTAGACAGCATCCAGTAATTGGCAAACCAAGAGAGTAATAGACCTTTAGTCCATTTCGTATGTAAATCAGTTGAAAGTTCTAAGTCTAGGATGTTTACTTCAGAAAACTCCTGAGGGAAAGCAGAGGAGATGAGAGACATGCTAGCTCTCTCCAAGTTTTTGAAGAGTTGTCATTGGCAGAGCTATTAGCTTTGTTCCATTTGAGCCCAGAAGACAGAACGAGGAAGAATGGGTAAGAGTGGTAAAAAGGCAAATTTAAATTTAATGTCAGTAAAAACTTCTAAATGATTAGAGTTCTCCAAAAATGAAATTGGCTACTTTGGATATAGTAGGCTCCCCCTCATTGAAGGTCTTTAGTCAAAAAGTGGATGGATGGCCATTTATCTCTTAGCTATAGTCTGCACTAGATGGTCAATGAATTACCTTTCACCCTGGAGATTCTATGACTCGATGTTATATACTGGTATATTTGGGAAAGCAAAAAGAACAACCAAAATAATTATTATTTTATTAAATGACTATTTAATGGATTTTTATTATGTTCAATAGCTACTTCATAGAGCTTCACTAACATAGCAACAAATAAGATAAAATCACATCTCTACATTGCGTTAACAAAAACTGAAAAAATTATAGAAAAATAATTCTGTTGATATAATCAATTGACATAATTATTATAATCTCAACAAAACAGATCAAGTTCTTGGTAATTCACTTACCAGTATATTATTCTCTGCTCAAAAAACAAACAAACAAAAAAGAAGCAGATTTAAATTCCCAGAGCAGTGACTAAAATAATTTAATTGAAACAAAATAAAAATTAAATAATAGAAAAGGATACAGCATACATGACTGCGTTAAGACAATACTTTTAAACATATTACCCTCTGTATTGTAACAATAATAAAAGCTGACTGATAGAACATTAAATTTTATAAATTGCTTTGCATACATATCTCATTTCATCCACATAACAATCTTGTATGACAGATGTTATTATGCACATCTTGTAGCTGAGAAATCTGAGGCCAAAAGATATTAAATGACCTGCCCAGAATCACATAATGAATGTGTCCCTGAGGCAAGACTGGCATATATTAAATAAAATGCTCAACTTACATGCATGGGTTCAAATACCACTTCAGAAACTAGCTATGTGAATAGCTTGTGAATATGTGAAATAACTTGTGATGTTATTTAACATTTCTCAGTTTCAGTTTCCTCATTTGCTAAATGGGAAATGATAAGGAAATACAGCATGACACAATAGAGAGAGAGCGCTGGCCTCAGTGGTCAAGTCCCACTTTGCTCATATACTGGCTATGTGACTCTGGGAAAGTCATTTAACCTCTCATTGCCCTAAGCAACTCCTGAAAACCATGTTATGCTGCAGATGCCTGTCTGCATTGGCAGTAGATATTTTCTCATCTGGAATTCTCTAAACCAATTAAGTCATTCCAAGCATTCCCTCTCCTCAAAATACCTGTAGAGCTTAGATTGATGTGAGAATCCAATAAAACAACATATGCAAAGCACTTTGCAAACCTGAAATGACTATGCAGGGGTTCATAAAGTCTTGGTGCAGCAATGAGCTTTAATAATAGCTTAAAGTTGCTCTAAGATTTTTAGGACATGCTGTATAAATGTCAGCTATAATGATAATGATGATGGTGATGATAACCCTTAAAAATTAATTCAAGTAAAGTAATAAATACTTTGTGGTGATAGCTAGTGTATGTGGCTGTGCTGAACCGAAACAGTAAAGATACCAATATGATCTAAAGTAATTTATAGATTTAAAACAATATTTATGTATTTACTGAGTACAAATTAACTGTGTAACTGTAAAAATATGCTACAGACCACTTATGTCCATCATTGCCTCTGAGTTAACTACAGTTTTGAAGCTTGGAAGCTATCTTGTTCAATGTTTGTAGCTATAAAGTATCATTGGAATAATGCTGGCATTAATAATATGAGCTTCATGTTAGGGAATAGATTGGATCTTTAAAAGCACCATGTTATTTCCTTAGTGCTCTCCAGCCTTCTTCTCTCCCTCCCCTCACATATTCACAAGTTATTCACATAGCTAGTTTCTGAAGTGGTATTTGAACATATGCATGTAAGTTGAGCATTTTATTTAAAATATGCCAATCTTGCCTCAGGGACACATTCATTATGTGATTCTGGGAAGGTCATTTAATATCTCTTAGCCTCAGATTTCTCATCTACAAGATGTGCATAATAACATACACACACATACACACATAGTATATATATATATATATATGTATATATATTGGAGTAACTGCAGGAAATGAACAAATAAATATTAATTTTAAAAATAATTTTCTACAACAAAAAGCAACGAACAACACAAATATAAAGGAATAAAGAAGAGCGGGAATAATTGAATAGATTGAGGACAAAATATCAGCTCTAGACACTTCTGATTTAAATCTGATGTCCAGTGAGGGATTGACAGAAACATATGGATAAGTTCATTACTCAATTGATATTAAGGAATGAAAAATTATCAATAGGCAATTCTCAAATGAAGAAATACAGATTATTGATAGTCACTTCAAGATTGCTTAAATCCTCTAAAAATGAGAGAAATTAAAATAAAACATACTATATTTCATTCATTAAATTTAAAAAAACAGTAAAAATGTTTTTAAAAATAAATGTAGATAACAGTAAGGAGAAATAGATACACTGTTTTACTACTTGTATCATGCAGCTGTGAATTACACAATTATTTTTGGAAAACTAGATAGGTCTGATGTCCTTTGATTCACTGATCCTACTACTAGGACTTTAGCCTAAAGGTTTCATTCACAGGTTACAAAAAAGAGAGACTTAAACATAGCTAAAATATTGCTAATATTATTTGTCAAAACTAAACAAAACATCTTCTGGAAGCAACCTATTTATCCAATAATTGGGAAATGGCTAAACAAAATTTTGGTGTATGCATTTAATGTATTATTGTAGCATAAAAATCAATACTATGACTTCAAAGAAAAATGCAAAGATCTATGTTAAGTAATAAAACATGAAAAAGCATTGTCAGAACATTATATGTAAAGGCAACTTTAAAAAAACTCCCAAAACTAATTATTTATACAGTTATGAAAAAAGTTCAAAATGTCACATGAAAAGAAACAAGTATTTTTTGTTATTGTTAAAGTTGACATTTTAAAATAGGGGTTCATGGTTTATGAATTATTTTTATTGTGTTTTAAAATAATTTTGATTATTGCTATATTTAGAATATATTAAGAATGAAGGTGTGTGTAATGAAAGTTCAATGAACCTGTAACTTTTGGTGAGAAAGGAGTAAATTGCTAGCTTTTATTAGAAAAATTTATTTCTTTATCTAAATTGTATGTCCTTTAAAATTTTTTTCTAGCAATATAATTGTTCGTGTTAGTCACAAAAAATAGCCTTGCATTGAAGAGTCTGTTCCCTTGTCAAATTACAGATCATTTTTATCATTTTCCATAATGAATTTTGGAAAATTCATGGAATCAGCTCTGCTTGAAATGTGTATATAATTTGTGTGTATTAATGAATTCCTGGAATAAAATTATGATAATAAAGATATGAAAAAATATTCAAATGGTTTGTTAAGCAACCCTCAAATCATTAGGACATTTTTGTTGTATCTTAGCTAGAATATTTGAAAGACCTACTTGAAGACATAGGAGGATAATTACCTTTAAAGATAACCCGAAACTGGCAGGAGTAACTAATATTGTTTGACAGAATCAAGATTCAATGTTATATAAGCACATTGAAATAATGAGCTAAAAACAATTAAATTTTAAAACAAAACATAGCTTTAGAGATGTAAGGGATCTTAAAAGCCAAGTTCTTAATTTTACAGCTGAGGAAATTGAGTCCAAGAGAAGTTAAATAACTTACCCAGGGACATAACTAGTAAAAAGCAGAAGTAGGATTTGGATGTAGGTCTTCCTTATTTCAGGTTTGGAACTCTATTCCCTCCATAAGTGTCAAACTCCAACAGAAGCCTGTATATCTGTGTTTGCAACATATTGACTTTTAAAACCACAAATTGATATTATGTATATTATATTATACTTTTATTCATTTTGTTAAACATTTTTCAATTTCTTTTTAATCTGGTTTGATTTTTCAGGCTGCTTGAAGCCTGAGGTCTGAGTTTGACATCTATGTCCTATACCTTGCTGTTGGAATAAATGTAAAATCCAGTCTTTAGGTCCTAACAATCACTTGTGCAGTACAAGTTGGGGGAGATCTAGTAGTTCACGTGAGAAAGACCTGGTTGGGAGTGGGTGGGGGAAGAATTGTCACTTGTTGTATAATATATCAAAATGTTTTTGGTGACTGGTTGATGGCATCTTATATCTTTTCTAACTTTTATGATTGTATAAAATATTATTTTCTTTTGTCAACAATTTTAGATATCACTTAGAATTACAGCTATTTCTATGGAAATGATGAAAGAAAATCTCCTGGTAGATGGAAAGTTAAAGGTTTTCTTGAAGTCTGTAGTAATACAAACAAAAAATTTATCCTCATCTCAGAAGCAAATGCAATAAGGTTTATATTATATTTATGTTGTTTAATTGCAGACTCGTATGCTTTTTAACAATGCAAAGTCTAATTCCACTTTATATACCACGGAATTAAGCCTTCCAGAACACTTTGATATCCCCAAGAAAATCTACATTCCTTCTATTCCACAAAGCAAACTTAAAGCAATGAGTATGGAAGATGCCCAAACAATACAACAAGCAGGTAGGTAACCAGTCAATATTTCTTTTGTCCACTTTTTATATATTCTTCATATTCAATCATTAGGGTTGTAATGATCAGCAAAACTGTTTAGCACATACATGTCTACTCTGTCTCCCCCACCATACTGAATGCTATTTGGTATAAAAGAAAAAAGCAAATGGCTCATCCTTTTAATACCATTTTTCTACACTATTAAATTTTTCTGAAACATAAGATTTCAGTCTCTGAAGAACTAAAAATTTATGTATTACATGGATTTCAATGGGCATGCTATATATAACATACAACCAATAAGAATCTTTGAAGAAATATAAAAGTGAATGACGTCCTCATAAAAATGTGTGATAAGAAAAAAAAAGTGGGTTGGTTGCATGGCAAAACAGGAATGAGAGGTGGTCAGCCGGTGCTCCACTCTATTTTTGCAATATCTAGAGAAAATGAAGAACTCATAGCAATTGTATATGCTCCCTGTGGTGAATTAATAGGAAGATAGGGACAAAAGTAGAACTAGATAGGCAGGCAAGGAAAGTTTGAGCTTTCATGATTGGAGAGAACATCCAATTGATGAAATCATAGAACTAGATGGGTATTGGACATGGTCCCTGCTGCATAGTGTTCATAATCCAATTAGTGAGATAAGATACAAGCACATGAAGCATTGAATAAGCAGGACAGTTCAAAATTACAGATGTACTTCATCTATGTGAACATAATTTACCACAGGTATTCATTTGCAAGTTTAATACAGATATTTAGAGAACGGGACATAATATGACATAAGGTTTCTATGTCTGTTATTAGCTGTGTCACTAGCTCTGTGACCTTTGGTAAATCACTTCACTTTTCCTGTTCTATTTCCTGAAAAAAGAAGGTGCTAGCTCTAAATTCTGTGATCCCAATTATAACAATAATTTTTTAAAAATTACCAGTAACATAATAACGTCAGCAGCAATTGAAATAAGATGTGGCATTTTTCAATTTAGGCCTATTAACATTATGCCTAGCCTTAAATTAATTATCACATCTTCAAAAACAGAACTAAATATTACTCATGAATTAATGAGGGAACCAAACCAAAACATAGTTATCATGTTATGTACATGGATGCCATAGAGCTGTATGGCTACCTTCCCTCCACTCCTAATGCATTCAATAGCTCCTTTAACTCAAGATATCTTTTCCTGGTGGTATCACTATGTCATTTGAAATCTAGAAATGTAAAATTCTACATATATGCCAAAGAAAGAGACAAAAAGCTATACAACCTTGAATTGGTCAAACTGAATCAATAAATGATGGCAATATTTGCAAATACATTGGTCTCCTGTAGGCATGACATATAGTACATAAAGTTAAGGAGAAAATGGTGGTTGAATATGTTAAGGGACTGGCATCCTGATATCAATGCCAAATGGGAAGATGTTTAAAGTGATTAACACCCACATAAATAGGTGTTACACCTACACCCAATACCAGTATTAACATATTCTTTTTGCACAATAATATGGACAACAAAGAAGTGTCCAAACAAAAGTCCAATATAAACAAATGCATTTTAAGAAAATTTAGAGTTCGTGAACCAAAGGCATTTATAGAAAAATTATAACTTCCTCCTTAAAAAAAAAGAGAATGAACAATGATAAATGTTCTCAGAGTACAAATTAATAAGGTTGAAAAATGTACAGAAAAACATTTGGACTAAACATATTTCACTTCATAAAGCAGCAGTAAAGGCCAATAGATATGAGCCACTAGATTTGCTTTATGTAACCAAAAGTGGTTTAATCAATCAGTGAATAAATGTTTATTAAGTGCCTCCTGTGTTCCTGGCATTGTGCTAGGAACTGGGGATACAAGTACAAAGAACTGAGTAACTGAATTTCTCCTCTTAGGGAGCTCATGTTCTATAAAACAGCTAATATCTAAGAGTGCCATATAAAAGACACACCATGAGTGATTTCCACTTGTACTCAACCCATAATATGGTAACAAAGAAGTGTCAAACAGCTGATTTAAGCATATTTGTTTATAGAAATGGAGGGTTTTATGAAAGAAATTCTGAATCGTGATACTGCCACAAAAATACAGAATGTCTTAAAGACCCCAGACTTAATGAATATTGCAGATTATGTGAAGTGATGGAAACTGTACAATATATCACTGTTTATCTGTCAAGAAAATCCCAAATGGGGTCATGAAGAGTCAGACACAAGTGAAAACTGAACTGAACATGGCTGGACATCAATAATTTTACATATCTCTATCTCTATCTGTACACACATATAATATGCACACATAATCTCAGAGGAGATTAAAATTATTTGGGAAAAGGATAATGTGTTTGTCATTCCTGTTGTCCTGTCTTTTACTGGAATTATCCTGAAGATTCTTTCAGTGAGCCTGCTGAAGATGAGCTCACATCCTAGTAATCTTATTTAATTATAAACAGAAATTATTTTATCCATCCACACAGTAGTCCACAGAACATTAAATAACAAGAAAAATAGGAAGATCATGAGAAGATGAAAACAATAATAAGAATGACAACAATAACAATAATGCAGATAATCACTTGTATAGAAATCACACAGAGTTTGCAAAGCTCTTTCCTCTTAACAATTCAGTGAAGGAAGCAGTACAAAGAATATCATTTCTGGGACAGCTAGGTGGCGCAGTGGATAGAGCTCTGGTCTTGGAGTTGGGAGGACCCAAGTTCAAATCTGCTCTCAGACACTTGATACTTACTAGCTGTGTGACCCTGGGCAAGTCATTTGCCTCACCAAAAAGCATATATATATATAATTTCTGTTTTATAGATGAGAAAACTGAAGCTCAGAAATAGCTTGGTTACTTACCTAAGGTTACACAGGTTACATTAGAGCTAGAATCAAGTCCAGATATCCTGATTACAAATCTAGTGCTATTTCTATTGCCTGGAAGTTAGAGAAGAGAGAGAGGCAAGTATAAGCTGGAAGTATCAGAAAAATCTTCATGAAAGAGGTGAGACTTTTGCTGGACCTTGGGGAATGTTGATTCTGAATAAGCAAAGAGGAAAGGTAAGGTATATTTCATATGTGGGTAATGAATCACTAGTTGGTAATTATTGACTATGTAGTAAGTCTGAATCTATAGTAGAACTATAATTTACTTCTAGATTACTCGAATCTCCTATTTCTACTGTTATGCTCTAATATTAGAAAACTTGCTTTTGAATATTTGTGTTGTAGAGTTCAATTGAATTTGAGAAATTTACCAATCACTATTGCTAAAATGTTTTTAACCTCTTTAGATTGCTTCTCTTCTTTTATGCTACCAGACAACATGGTTGATAATATTTATATTATTTCCCTCATACTGACTGATTTAAAAAAAAAGAACAAAAATAACTTTTAGGGACCCTGATTTATGACTTTCATTGCATTTAGACTGAAATAATCAAGCATTTGGCATTGTCATATGAATATATTGGGGCTGAAATTTATCTAAGTTTCAAAGTTTCAAGAAGTGATGGCACATTATAATCAGTGGAGAAAGCTTTGAATTTGACTTGCTGATAGTGTAGACTCCTTGGATTTTTCTGATGATCTTTATTTCTAAAATTCACATGTTATGTTTGGAATAAATTTATTTAATTATGCTGAATATTTTACATTGAGAGTTTTATAACATCTATTGAAATAACTGGAGACATTAGGACATTTAAAATGAGGGCTGGTAATTATTAATGGTCCCAATTATAGTTCATTCAATTAAGACTAAGAAAACTGTAGCTATTTAATGGAGGATTATTCAAGCATTTTAGCCCATCATGGGAATTCCTGTATCATAACTAAATAGATCAAAATCATGTTGATTTAAAACTTGAAGTATAACCTTGTTTGACCTTGTTATCTAGAATACTGAACACAGTAGGTAATATTGGTTTTAAAGGTTCCTTAACTAAGAATACAAAATTAATTTAAAATTTACATTATTTTACTTTAAAATATGTGATAATTCTTTTTTAAATTTTATATCTTGATACTTTATTGAAGTTATTGATTGCTTCACTTAATTTTTTTAAAAAATCATTTTTAGTTTTCAACATTCACTTCCATAAGATTTTAAGTTCCAAATTTTCTCCCTATCTCTCCCCTCCCCTCACCCCAAGACAGCATGCAATTTGATATGAGCTCTACATATACATTCATATTGAACCTATTTTCACATTAGTCGTGTTGTAAAGAAGAATTAGAACCAACAGGAGAAACCATGAGAAAGAAGAAACAAACAGAAAAAAAGAGAGAGCAAATAATATGCTTTGATCTGCATTCAGACTCCATAGTTCTTTTTTCTGGTTGTGGACAGCATTTTCCATCATGAGTTCTTTGGAGTTGCCTTGTATCCTTGCGTTGCTAAGAAAAAATGAGTCTATCAAAGTTAGTCATCACACAGTGTGGCTGTTAGTGTGTATGACATTCTCCTAACTTCATTCAGCATCAGTTCATATTAAAATATGTGATAATTCTGACACAGAAGCTTTGCTGTGAAAATTTTTCATGAAAAATATAACTAATTGTCTGACTGGAATTTAGAGTATATGAATGAAACTAATACTGGCAATGTAAGGACAGAGTCAACCACAGTTGATAAATAGGATTGGATATGTCAAATGCAGCCTTTGACATATTTTTTAAAAGCCATTATTAGAAATAGGTGCCAATTTCACCTAGCTGAAATAAGGTTCATTTCTCCTTAGCTACCAGAGTAAACATCCATATAATACAAGCCAGGACTATGCTGGTAAGTATTTAAGAACTGGCTCTCAGAAAAAAAAATTGCTGGACACAAACTTCTAAATTTAATTTGCATTATTAACATTTTCTCAGTCATTTACTTTAACCAGACCAGAGCTGTCAACCACACATTTCTTAGTGTTGTGGGAACCAGATTTAATTGAAAAATATTAAATGATTGAGAAATTAATTGAGAAATATTTAACAAAATAAATAAATTACAAT